ATAATAATGTGCAGGCAAAACTTATGGCCTTCAGTGTCCTGCGGGGCACGACAAGGATAAGTATCTAGCCGTCCATCTGGAATGCTTCTCCATTCGTCGTAGATTCTCCCCAGCGGTATCCAGAATACCCCAACCATTCACCGGTACCTGTGTGGTGAAAGCCTCTGTGGGAGTAACACGTCTCTTCGAGCCTAAGAAAAACGTGGAAGACCACGCTGGCTAAACGGGGATCTGCACCTCTTTATCTGCGCTTCAAACTGAAAAACAGTCCTGAAAAAGCTTTTCAGGTCCAATTTTCGATAGCCATTTCTACGCCAGACATTTCACAGGCTGCTTTCCTATACTTCATCGAAAGTTCTTGTGATTCTTCCAGATTTCCCCACTGCTGTTGTAGTATGGACCCAGATTCCAAATAAACGGTTCATGTTTTAACTTTTCTCTGCAGTAGGTCAAGTTTTCATCGGTACATTTGGTGCAAAGATATTGTAGAGTATCACCCCTCCATCCATGTGCAAAATTACAACGATCAGTAGTATGGATTTCACTCTTCTTGTTGTGATAAGTACACTCTTGTGACTTCCGAACACCGAGAACAAACGCTCCATGATGAAGTTTACCATCTGCGGCTAAGCGTTTTGGGACGAAAGTTTTCTTCTTGTCACCACGGGTTCCTTCCACAGTTTTCCAATTTTCTCGTTTCTTGGTTGTAGCGTCCAATTCTACTGGCCGTTCTGTAGCATTGCAAGGTTTCAATTCATCAGTTTTCTTTTCTTTTCGCAGAGTTGACTTGGGTAAGCCCCAAACTGAATTAGGATAATTTTGATTTGTAATGGCACTAGCAACCGATGAACTGGAAGAGGACGAGGAATTCAAACCTCTTTCCCAGTCTGAACCACCATCATGGTCATCTCTTAGGAGCCGTGGAGAAGAACAGTGGTCATGTTGAGCAGGTGGACTGTCACGGATGTTTTCATTAACGTAATGGTGTTGATCTGGTGCCATATCGTGAAGTGCGTCCGCTGAATTCCTGGGCACCCGAGTCTTACTTCGACCAGAATGACGAGAGGCAATACTCCATTTCTCGCTGCCATTGGACCTTTCGGATGAGGAGTAGGCTGAGGGCAATGAAGTACCGCACTCGGTTTGTCGTCTCAATGCAGCGTAGGTGTCGTTGTCAACTGGGTCATATGCATAGGGNTAATGTCTATTGCACAAGGAAGAGAAATATATATGTGAACACTCATTAAGTCGAAGAGGGGGTTAATACAATATAATGCATTGCCTTAATGAGACAGAAAACGTTCGCTAGTTATTTTGTGTTGTCAAATAACTGCTCTTATAAACACCGCCGTTTACACTCAGTCCATGAGTCTCAGTCTCTCGGATATTTTGACGTTTCTTGGTTTTTACGGTTTCCTGAAGAGACCATGATCAAGAGACCATGGTCTCCTGGTTCCTTATCACATTTGAGCTACTTTTTCACTTGTTTAACACGCCCCTTCTCGCTTCTTTGCAGAAAGACAGAATCTACAACACCAAGCCCAGACTTTGAGGTCAAAGGTAACAGTTCTATCATTAATACACGCTTCTTATGAATATCATATGAATACGCACTCACCCAGTATGATTGCCACTGCAAGTAGCTGCAACAAACAAATATGAAAATTCACGCAAATCTTTGCTTGGAGTCTTCCAACTCGCCTTGTGTTACTCGCTTGGCTTGGCATGTTACAATAAAAAAGAATGGTAGTTCGAACGTGTTTCAACCATCTTCAACTGCATTGTAAGAATGGGTTTCTTCCGCTTTTCCCTTGCAATGTAAATTTACTAACAATTCGATTCTGTTTGCAGAAAAAGGATACAAAATCATCTTCTGTCAAGCAAACTGGCAGCCAATCACAGTCAAGAAAGCTACTCCTACAGCTTTGATTGGATGGCGATACATCAAACTCTTCTTCGATTGAAGTTTTGAGCTTTCCTCTTGGCGAGGACAGCATATGTGCACCGTGAAAGATCGTGTGGTGTAACGTCTGCAGACAAATGCAATAGACCTTTCAAGGACATAATCTTACGTTACTGGCTTTGTAAACGATCAGCAAATTTCCCGACTCCACCATGGAGAGAATCATGAAGTACAGGCTTATCAAGGAATTTAGTTTTGACGTTTGCTTAAAAAAAAAAAAACCTGAAGAGTTCTTTAGTTCTTAAATAAATTGGATGAAGTCAGGACTCGAGTAAAGTACACAAATATAGTTAGTTGCCCCGCCTCAAATACCACACAAATACAGCCGCTCCTCATCAAATGGGCCGGGAGCGGTAACAGGTAACCTGCAAACAATTGTTCTTTCCTTTTTTGAAAAGAGAAAGAAAAGCAGAGAATAATACTCTCTTCCGCCACCGCGAATAAACGATTAAGCTGTGACTACGCAGTTTACTGGCACTCCTTAGAAAGTAAGAACTGGTTTGCCTGTTGTGATATCGTCATTTGTTCTGGTTATTTCACTTGAAAACGGCAAACTGAACAACAAGTACGGTTTGCAATTGCCACTTCTTTGAAAGGCATTCTTCATTCGGATCTTTTTGAGTTGTTTCTTGTTAAATTACTTGTCTTAATAATATCAACACCTTTGTATACACCTTTCTAGTAACTCAAGGTAAAATCCTAGAGTCTAGTAGATGGGCTTTACCGATTGGTAAAGTGCTTCTCAGGTTTTTTTTTTTCCATCTAAATCAATAAATGCTATAAATGGACCGTGTGGACTTCCTGTTTCGTGTTCATTTGTTGATAAGTTGTTTCCACTGAAACAACCATCGGGTACAGCATCTGGTTATGTCTCAGTAGGCGTTTGTAAGCACTTCGTGGCCACTATATGGCAACACTGATACGTTAGTGCCTGGGGATGAAGTTTCTCAAACTTGCGCGACTTCTTAGCAGCGGTGAGAAGAGAAAGCGACACCACACGTGATCAGGATTGTCGTCTATAGCTCGCTGGTCTGACCCAAAGAGGGGCTCTATTAACCACACCACATGCATTGTGGTCCAATGTAGCTAATTGTTCTAAATAGGTCCCGTAAATGAATTCTAAGGATTTTTAAGAACCGCCCATTTGTTTCAATCAAATTATTAGCGATGTCTAAAGTTTATGCAAATGAATCCCAAACGCATAACTGATTTTATCCTGGATGTTTAAAGCGACGTTGTTTTATTGTCAAGTGTATAGGCGAGACAGTTCTTAGTTAACAGTTTAGTGATCCCCAGATAACAGAAGAACATCACCTGACTCATAATGTCTTGCAGATAATCACTGTCCAGGTAGACGTATCACTAGAGTTGTCCATGTCTGGGTTGCTTGTCCATCCGTCGCATATTTTCTCCCAGCAGTACCCAGGATGCCCCAACCATTCACTGGTACCTGGGTGGTGAAAGCCTCTGTGACAGTAAAAAGTCTCTTCCTGCAGCCTGAGAACAACGTGGACAGCACCTACGTTCTTCTTATCCTTTAGGAAATACCCACACCTCTTCAAAATCAGATTCATAATCAACTGTGATTTCCGAACCCCAAGAACTTACATCCAATCATAACATAAGCTCTTGTTATCCTTCCAGATGTCTCCATTGCTGTTGTAGTAAGGACCCAGATTCCAAATGAACTGTTCATGTTTTGTCTTTTCTTTACAGCAGGTCAAGTCTTCATCGGTACATTTGGTGCAAACATGCTGTAGAGTATCACCCCTCCATCCATGCGCAAAATTGCAACGATCAGTGACCTCGATTTCTGCTCTCGTTGTGTTTGTGTGACACTGACACTCTTGTGACTTGCGAGTGCCGAGAACGAAAGCGCCATGATGAAGTTTTCCATCTTGGGATTCGTATCTTGGTTCAAAACTTCTCTTCTTGTGGCCACGGGTTCCTTCGACTGTTTTCCAATTTTCTCTTTTCTTGGTTGAAGCGTCTGCTTCAATGCGCCATTTGCAATGTTTCCATCCATCAGTCCTCGTGTCTGTTCGCGGGGCCGACTTAGGTAAACCCAAGCTTGAAATGGAATGATTTTGATTTGTACTGGCAGACGATGAACTCGAAGCAGACCTCCATTCTGGGACACGGTCATCTTCAGAGAACTGTGGAGATGAACGGACGTAATGGCGCGTAGGTGGACTGCCACGAAACTTTTCTTTAACGTAATGGCGTCGATTAAACCCCTCATCGTGAGGTGCCTCTGATGAATTTCTGGCCACCTGAGTGTTACTTCGACCAAAGCAACGAGAGGAAATATTCCGTTTCTCGCTGGCATTGGACCTCTCGGATGAGGAGTAAGGTGTTGGCAATGACGTACACGACGAAGTTTCTCGTTTTAATGCGGCGTAGGTGTCGTTGTCAACTGGATCATATGCATAGGGTCCAGCAACAGTAAAACCGACGTAAAACCAAAGGTCATCTTTACTTTCGTTAGGGTAAAGTGTGTTGTCGAAGTGAAGTTGGATTCCTTTGTATGAGATAATGCCTTTACTGCCTACGTCTTTTTGACCTTGCACGCGTTCTAACCTCTCGGAGGGCTCCTTCCCTCTCCAGAACTCCGTTTTGGTTTTCCACTTTGTCTCCAGCCACCGAAACTCTTGACTACTCAGAATGGCGTTGAGACCAATGCCCTTACCAAGAAAATATTCAGCACCGGATTTTCGAAATCCTGAACCTGCCTTTTCTCTAACAATGCTGGCACATTTGTTGACTGATGCTTTAGTGTCTGCATTGCAGCGAGCAAGGCTTCCATTGGGAACGGGAAAGTGAATCATGTAGTAGAACAGATGCGCCCATTCTGACTTTGGGAACTTTTCCACCCAATTCTTGACGATTTTGTCAAGCTCGTCAACTGGAGGTCTGTTTTCAAGTTGAAGACAAGCCTTGGAACAAATCAGCATATCATTATGGCTTCCACGACCACGAAGACAAAGAGGTTTCAGCAACTTGTAAATAAAAGACACATCCGCATCAGTAAGGGTTGACCAAGCACTGTAGGGCGTCTCATCCTTGAAAAAGAGCATGTCTTGAACCTTTTGTTGATAAAGAGCAAGTTCTTGCTTTGTTGAGGAAAAATGGCACACTAAGTACTCTTCAGTAGTTAGCTCTCTTTTGTCGAATCCGGTGATTTCATAGAATTTTCGGCGCAGATTTGAAGCTCTTATCTTTGCATTGTTAAGACCTCTTATTTCATTCTCATCATATGTGGTCGTTTGCTTCAGTTTTACATTTCCAAACAGCTCGTTCAGCAGATCAAGTGTGGTAGAACAAAGTCCCTGTACGTAGTCCTGATCATTCAACGAAAGAACTTCTTCCATTTCAGGGGGGACGTCTCCTTTTTTCAAGTACGTAGTGAATTTTCTATCTTCAAACTGAAAACAGGGCAGATCCTTAATGATTTGTAGTAAAGAAACGATGGCTTGGATTTTTCCAATCATTGAAAAATGATTAGGCTCACGGGAATTCTGGAGGGCTTTGTCGTATACACCTAATGCTTTGCGGCATATTTCAATCGCTTCAGGAAGTGATGGAAGCAATGGAGGCTTGAAATCTCTGAGCTGAAGAAGGTAGAGCACACCCTTAGTCGTGTAGTGGTTGACGTAACTGGGTTGGTAAGAAACAGCAATGTCGACTGCAATGTGTGCAGCATCAATTCCAGTTCGTGGCATGGACAGCTTTATGGGATGCTCTTTCGTCATAGCGTGGTATAGTCGCTCATGTAGCTCGTCCTTTTCGTCCATTTGATTAGCACGCATCTCATAACCCATGAATCTTGCCATCTGTTGCCATACGTAAGCTTTATCCTCGGTTTGAGTGGCTTGCTCACAGATCGTAAGAAGAACATTCAGAGCGCCTTGAATGTTACTTTCTTTATCCAAGATATCCATGATAACAGGTGAATATCTGGTGCGTTTCCCGTAAAACCCGAAGACTTCGTTTTCTAAATCGGTGCCAACTGCGCCGTCGTCTGTTGCCTGCTCCTCGACAAAGACAGGATCAGATATTCTTTTACGTTCCAAAAACAGTCGAAAAACTTGCTGTCTCAAGAACTTCATTACGTACGCCTTTCCACGGCAGACCTGCTCTAAAGTGTGTATGGCAGTGCTCTCTAAACTTATCCCTGATATGACGACCTCACTGACAAGGGAATGCGCCGGTCGCCAGCCATAATAACCATTGGTTTCGTTTTGTTCTTCAACAAGGAGTCCTCCGAAGACTTCATGGACATCTTGAATAGCTGAACATCGCTGTTTTGCCACCAAACTTGTCTCATAGAGGCAGTCCAGCACCACCGAATGAGGTAGGATGACCCAACCATCACTGTACTTGTTTAGAAAGCAGCACATTTCTAGCATACTTCTGTGCATCCTCTGCGAATCACCCAGGAAAGCCATGAGGATACTGTGGATGTGATTCTGCAGCCTCTCTTCGATCTTCAAGTAATCTCTTCCAAACAGTTCCAAACCAAACCAAATGAACCTCTTTTCTCTTTCAAGAACTTGTTCAGCTTCCCTTCTTCTCTCGTTGTCACTCATGATGTTAATCAAAATATTCTTAACAAGGCTCGTCTCCAACTCGTCCAGTTTTCGAAGAGGTGTTATCTCAAATTTGGTATTTGTTGCCGACTTTGCAATGGGCAGTGTAGCGAGCACAACACATTTTGTTTGCCTTTTCATTATGTGTTCTGTCAAGAGACGCACATCTCTCTCCGGGAAGTTGTCAACAAGCACAAGAACAGGAAGTGAGTAGATGAAATTCTTCTCGTCGTAGCCAATACTCTGCAATTTATCGATCTGGTAGTCTGTAGATGATGTTATGGCTTTTACCACAGCACAGCGATAGTCCTTTCTTCTATTCCAAAGGATTCCGCGACAGAGGGTAGTTGCACCAGATCCTGGTTCGTAGGGAAGAGTTATGGTCTTCATGTGGTAGTTGGCGTCAATAATTTCTTTCGACAGAGACTTCAGTGCCCGTTCAACCTTGGAATTAACCTCTTTTTCAAGACTTCGAGGAATGCTGTGGTCTTGGACCAAATTGATCTGACTAGCCTGAGCACCCTTATAAAATGCATCCCGTTCCTTTTCAATGGCTTCTGCGAACTTGGGCAACCGAGGGTTGGGACTGTACACTTCTAAGTCATTCCAGGAGTTGACAATTTTGTTGAGAACCTCCTTGACTTGTCCTGTAAAATACGGCAGTTCCGTTGTGGCGCCCTTTTCCTCAAACTTGGACGGTCCCACCATCTCACGTACAATTTCCTTCAAATGCACCCAGGGAATACCGGTTATGGAACATTCCCTTAATTCCTTCCGAAGAGAGAGCTTTGAAGCGTTGAGGAAAGTCTCTGCCACAGGTTTGGTTTCACTAATAATGGTAACACAGCTACTTGCCGAATTCCCGAGAATGCTAAAACTGCTTTCCATGATATCTGCCATTTCTTCAACCGCAGTCTCGCCGAAACACAGGAACACACACACCAACCGCCCTGGAAGAAAGCACTCTTTGTAAGCTGACAGAGCACGATATAAGCAGTCCTTGGAACACATTATCCAATCACCCTTCTGCATTTCTTCATTGCTGAGAATCCAGGTTGTCCCTCGAGTAGAGAGAAGAGTATCTTTGTCGGATGCTTCTTTAAAATCGTCAAGAGTTCTGACTTTAGCGCGTAGTGCGTCGGTTGTCTCGTTACAAGCGTAGTGTAAACCATCTCGTTTAGATGATGGGTCAAACAAGTCAAGTACAGCAACCCAAGGGATGTTTTGCAGGAAGGAGAAATGCGCTGTTCCTCTGTACTGAGCGGGTAACTTGTTTGCGATTAGCATGTAGCCATAGTCTTTGTAGTTGAGTTCGTGTAATCGTTCCCTTAATCTTTTTGCGTCACCATCCTCTAGACTGAGTTCTACCATATAAATAAGAATTACGTTACACACATACATACATGCATGCATACGTTTATTTCACGTCCTCTTGGGGCTTTTTAGTGAAATATATAGCAAGATAAAAGCATATGGAATAGAGTAGTTCTATGTAACTAAAAATGAAAATTTAGAAATTTAGTTAATAATTCTTACGACCTGCCATTTTATTTTACTTCGTCTCATTAAACCACAGTAAGTGCTAGTGTATGCTGTAGAAGTGATTTTAGTAACGTCAACAACGTCCAGAGACAAAAGCTACTGATACATATCACCACCAGTCTTTCAAGAGTTAATCCATGCTTTGTGTGAGGGCTCACCTTCAAGTATATCGTTCGCACCTGAATTGAAGAAAAGATAGAGGAACTACTGTCACTGGTTACATAACTTAAGCTCATTCTCACAGTCAAGAAAGGGAGAGGGAGAAAGGTGTTTTAAATCATCTTTAGTATAGCCTACGTATCGTGGATCGGAGGACTAAAATAAAAAAAAAGTGGTTTACTCTATAAGTGGACTAACCGTGCTTTTCCTTGCGCCTCCACTCCTTGTACTTTATTTCCAGCGGTTTCTTCACCTGCCTGTCAACCTCAAGGTGTTTCACACAGGAAGATGCGCCATTGGTACGAATTGCAACGTCGTCGAACTCGTCTCTTACTTTGTAGTAGTCGCCCAACCCTTTCTTTCCGGCACAATCCTTGTCAGCTCCTCGCTTCTCCGTCCAGCTTTTGGTGTAATAGACGTTGTCTTTGCAGAATCGCCATTCTCGGGAGACCTCTATTTCTATGACGTACAGGTTACTACGATTTCCTTGATTCTTGACTGGGACAAAATGTAAGTTAATACAATTTTGTTCTCCTCCCTTTTGCAGCGGTCCGGCGTCGCTCTTGATGTGGTCATCAAGGACAAACTGGAAGGCTTTATTGATATCATCTTTGATATCCTCGACCTCGAGTCCCAGAATTTCTCCGTGCTTATACTTTGAACCTTGCTCCTGACTATCTCCAACTCCGAAGTAGATGATGCCTTTTCGGTCATTATTTAAGCAAGCGCAGATGAACTTTTTTGCCTTCTCCATAATCTTCCATGGAAGAGAACAAGGCTGGGCACTCACAAGTGATTTGAATTCCAATTCTCTGTTTTCTTCAGCGTCCAAAACGAAACCTTTCTCATAGAAAGTTTCTCCACCACCAAGTCCGCGAGGCCTTGGCTTGCCTGTCGAAAATTGTTTATGAAAATCAGGTTGGTCTACTTATATTACTTAAAATAGCGGCAACCACTTACACACGCAACATTTCAGACCTGTTGACATAAAATTACGTGATGGGCGAACTGCAATCTAACAAAAACGAACCGCCCAGTTGATCACATCTCTGAGCAAACCTTTTTTTTCCTGAATAACCTCACGACATTCCAGAATAAAAACTAGCGGTAAAAAACGACGTTTCGATCTCTCTGAGATCATTTTCAAGTTGAACAAAAAACGAATGAAATATACATATATAAGTACAAATTAGGGCGTGAGAATGTCAAACGATAAAATATGTAAATACAAGCGCTAAAATGTAACTGTTAAAATAACAAACTACTATAAAAAAAACCTAAATAAATAACTTTGCACGGATTGAATCTGACTGTTTGTTCAAGGTTGGCTTAAGCTCCTTTATAAAGAGCATTTCGTAGATCAGGCAGTCGAATTTACTTTGGCACTTTCTCAAGATCTTAAAATCACGATATATGTCACTTGGGACTGTTCCATACTACTCTTTGATGTGATTCTCGATTGAAGACTATCCTTTGTGTTCCTCAACGCGTTACATTTTAGCGCTTGTATTTACATGTTTTATCGTTTGACATTCTCACGCCCTAATTTGTACTTATATATGTATATTTCATTCGTTTTTTTCTTCAACTTGAAAATGGTCTCAGAGAGATCGAAACGTCGTTTTTTACCGCTAGTTTTTATTCTGAAATGTTTTTCAAAAAAACTACTTATAAGAATCTCACGACAATTGTCTAAATGCCGAGTACTCATTTTGTAGTAATCAAATTCGGTTCGGCGCTGGCCGCTTATTTCCCGGCCTGACATTTACCCCCATCCTCGCCTCCACAAAACACCAAATTATTTCTCCCTTGTATTATTTATGTTAGGGCAACGAGCAACGAAAGTTACGCGTATGCTTTAAGAAGCGTATGTTACTGAACTAGCGTGAGGTCCGTATTTGGGAAATATTGCTCGAGTTAGCTTTATTAGTTGCAAGTTTTTATGGACCAAGCCGCAGCCAAGGTACCGGTTGATAAAACGAGAACCATTTTCCTATACATTTATTGATTTGGCTCTTTTTAAATTCTGCTGATAAATTAATGTGTCGATTCCGGTAAGCGCGCGCGCCAAAGTTAAGCATATATTTGCATTTTTTAGGCCGCGTTCTAGAAAGTTTAAAGAAATCACCCTCCAGAAGTAAACTGTTCTCCTTTCTGAAGTGTTTTGGAAAAGCAATTTGGAAGCTATTTCTGGGCGGTCCATCTTCGTGCTCCTTACATGAATTGCAAAAGTCCGACCCTCTCAGGGAACCAATCAGAATTCTCCTTTTCGTCGTGCACCAATTTGCCATATAATGAGGTACTGTTTTCAAACGGCTACTTACATCTAACAATTTTAGTGGATTCGTTTTCCTTGCTTTTTGCTCCAGTTTTGAGATGCTTGTCTTGGGATTTACGTTTCTGCTCCTCTGATCTATCATTTCCAGAATCTAAGCTTGAAGACGCCACGTTTTTTAGCGAAGAGCTTTTGGAGGCAGACGTATCTGAAGATACCTCTTGTTGATCATTTTCACTGGAACACGTTTCTTTGTCGTTTCCCGTAGCTGTCTTAGTGAAACACGAAATGGAAGAATGTGTTTTTGAGGAAAAAACTCTGGCATGGTCTTCAGGACTTGTTTCAGCTTCAACAATATCGCCTTTACCCAATGTAATCACTTCAGCTATAAGGGGATCACGAATTTTTGATGTAACTTCACCTGTGAAGTAGATAAGGTAGAACAAGGTGAATTCAAATTTGTGTTTAAACAGTCCACTTTATTTCCTATGGCAACACGTTGTCAGAAGGAGCTTTTCTTTATTCTCACTTTTAAGATCTTTTAATCAGTATAAATTCTCAAAGAAACAAGCGCAGCCAAGGCCACAGATTACTCACACGTTATAATGTTAACCCCTGATCGGCCAAACCACGATCAGTTTTTCAAAGCCGGGTATTCAGTCATTACAGCGAGACCTCGATAAAATATCGAAAAAAGCCACGAGCCTTGACCAAAAACACTGTTAAATTCAACAGGTATATAATACTCACTTCTACTATACACGAGCCATTTATTACATTAAATACCTTCGGAAGAAGTTTGTTCTTCGTTCTTTGTTTCCTTCTTTTCAGTGTTGTTTTGAGCACTGTCTGTCCCCTTGGAAGCCTTCTCCTTTTTTGTCTTTTTTCGTTTACTTTGTGAGCTAGATTCTGCGTTGGAAGGTTTGCTTTTATCTTCTCCAAGTGTGGTATCTACGTCCGCGTTTTCGTTGAGGAAAATTTCTTTTGGCCCATCGCCAGCAGTTGATCGCTCTTTGTAACTGTCATTGTTGTCGATCATAGCAAGACGGTCCTTACCACTTACAACTGTGGGAGCTCCTTTTTCGTCAACGCTGATTCCTCGGCAACCGACACCGATGTATGAACCTTTCCTTACGCTTCGTTCATCTTTAACTACAGAATCAAGCATATAAAAATAAAGCTACCACAAAATTCCCCAAAAAGGCCATCAGTAGACCTCACCAAGAACTTTAAAGCAAACAAGAAGTATTAAACGTAAATCGTGTGCCCAAGCAAGACTATTGAAATAGGGACAGAGTAAGGTTCAGAAAGTATGCATCCGCATCCTATAATTATTGACGTATTATTTAGACAACTAAAACGTTAATCACCTGAACAGCTGCTTCTTCTCATAGCTATGTCCTTAATCACAGGGTTTTCCTCGAGTTCTTCAAGTTTAACAACGTTGCTTTCAGCCGATGTACCCTCATTTGCTACTGTTAAGGGGTTGAGTGTCATTGCAGCTTGATTTGTGAAGCAAAATATCGCAATAATTTGCTGACGAAGAGTTTTGATTTTTTTAAAGCTTGAAATACCAGCCACATTCGCGGTGGATATACGTTATTCTAGTAATTCTTGGACCAAGGACAGGTATATACTGGAAGCATCAACTTAAAAAGACCCATTCAGTAGATAAAGTACCTCCTGAAGAGCCATTTTGTTCTTTTTTTATTTCCTCGCCCTCGGTGTAAAGAGATTTACCTTCCTTAGAGCTTGCAATCTCCAATACGTATTCATCTATCACTTTCTCTTTCTCTATGTCGTCTTTCAAAATTGACCAGCTACAGTCAACTGGAAGTTCCTTTTCACCTTGAGGTGTCAGCGACTCAGTTTCGCAAACATCTGTGAGGTCAAAACAAACTTTAACCTCCGCTTTCATGGGATCCTCTGTCTTGTGTTCCAGTGCAGTCCCCTTTATATTGATTTCCTTTTCCTCATCGTTAACGTCCGCTACTGCACTTGCTTGGTTCTTGTCTTTTCGCAGTACTTGAACATTCTTCTTGCTAAACGATTCTTTTTTCACTTTAATGTTGCTGTAGCTGTGGTGCAAAAGAAAGCGAAGTAATCCTTTTGAAATGTGTACCTAAGACGTTAATTCAGAACACTATACCAAGCATATTAAAACTAGATAGGGTGAGTACGTACTATTTGGGCACCGCTTTTTACAGTCACCCTGAAAGCAGACACAATGTCTATCTTACCTCCACTTTCATGATATTTTTGAAACCACAGACGACTGAATTCAAACTGTTCACCAAAAGGTAGTTTCAGTTCCTGTAAAAAAGAGATTAAAATGATAAGCTTGAAATGTCACTGTTTAACAGAAAGATAGCGGCAGTTTGGAATCACCTGCCACTATACTCCTCAACGTTCACCAAAGTGAGATAGCAGTCCTGATGACCAGGTATACAAGCGGATGTCTGGGGAGTTGGACACCTGTCAGCGACGGGATCATTACCGCTAGATTCTACCCTAAATACAAAAAAACTCCTATAGTATACGTGTACGCTCCAACCAACAACGTGGAGGACGAGGCAAAGGAGACGTTTTAAGAACAAAAGCGGACGACATTGGTTGCAGTTCCCAGACACGACATGCTCTTGGTAATGGGGACCCGGAACCCCAAGGTGGAGGAGAGACAGCACAGTGAGAGTGGCATCGTAGGGAGACATGGTTTAAATTGTGAGAGAAATGACAACGGCGACCGCTTGGTGACCTTGTGCATCTAACAACCTCGCCATAACATCAACCATGTTTCCTCAAAAGTATCTGCACAAGTATACGTGGACTTCCCAAGACGGTCGGCACGAGAACTGGACCGACAACGTGGCAGTCAGGTCCTGGTTTAAGAAGTCAGTCCAAGACACAAGAGCGCACAGAGGAGCTGATATGGGAAGCGACCACAACCTTGTCATAACTAAGGCCAAACTCAGGTTGAACGGCACAAGCAAGAAACAGATGGGGACTGCAAGGTATGAGGAGAGTAAACTGAGAATACCTGAGGTCAGACAGCAGTTCCAGCTCGAACTAAGAAATAGATTCCGCATCCTCCAGACGCCAGACCAGAAGGACACGGATATAGATGGCCACCAGAACAGTGAGCAGCCTGACCCAACCAACGACATCGAGCAAAGGTGGCAAAAGATCAAGACCACCTACACTGAATCGGCACTGAATGTACTGGGACGCAGAAAGAAGAAGAGTAAGAGCTGGATCAGCACGGAAAGTTGGAGAAAGATCGAAGATAGGAGAAAACTAAAGAAGATGGATGACTCAAGACCGGAAAGGCTGAAGAAAAAAGCCAGAAATGAGTACAGAGAAAAGGACGAGGAAGTGAAAAGGAGTCTTAGGAAGGGAAAGAGAGTCTAGACAAACAGTGTCGCACAAGAGGCTGAAGACGCTGCATAGCAGGGTCAAATGAAAGTAATATGTGAAGCAACTACGAAGTTATGCAACGAAGGGCCAAGGAAGGTAGGAATGGTGAGGAGCGAAGAAGGAAGGCTATTGCCCAAAGTCAGATGGCAAGAGTACTTCATAGAGGTTTCAGACAGGCCAGTTCCTGAAGTTACCGCTGAGTTGGATGAGATAAATGTGGTGAATGATAGCATCGACATAGGAGAGATAACATGGGAAGAGATCAAGATTGCACTGGAGGACATACCGTAAATGCCCTGCATATGCATGGGCTGTTCAATACAATATGGGATCAAGAAAGTGTCCTTGAGGACTGGTCAAGAAGGCTTACGTTCAAGAAAGGGGATTTGACAAGTTGTTGGAACTGGAGAGCTATCATCCTCACGTCCATCGTAGCCAAGGTGTTGGGCCACTGGGACAGATGCTGAGTTGAGAAGGGAACAAGCTGGCTTTAGAAAGGAAAGGAGCACAACAGAACAGACCTTTGTACTCAGGAATATCGTTTAGAAGGTATAGTTGAATGGAACTCTAGCCTCTACCTTTGCTTCGTGGACTACGAGAAGGCTTTCGACGGCATAAATAGAGACATGCTCTGGACGATCATGAGATGCTATGGAGTACCAATGAAGATCGTGAGAATGGTGCAAGTCACGTACACTAACTGCACAAGTGCAGTGGTGGATGGCGATGGAACAACAGACTGGTTCGAGGTGAAGTCAGGGTTCTTGTTTCTTTTGGTGGTTGACAGGGTGATGAGGAGGACAGTTGAACATGCAGGAAGAGGCATCAGGTGGAAGATTTGAAGATAACGACTACTCTAGAGGACTTAGACTTTGAGATGACTTGGCACTCATCTCAAGTACATTCACACACATCCAGACGAAGATTGACCGCCGGAATAGAAACGGGAAGGGAACGGGTCTGAAAATCAGCACCGAGAAAAACAAACTCACGAGGATCAACGTGAAGAACAACAAGGCAGTTGTAGTAGATGGACAGGAAATAGAGGACATATCTAGGAGCAGAAATGCCCAAACATGGAGGGGCTGAGGACAACATCAAGAACCACTGGTCAACAGCAAACACAACGTCAAAGCGGTGCTACTCTATGGATGCGAGACTTGGGGAATGATCGGAGGGATGAGGCGAAGCTGTACACATTCCTCCACAAGTGTCTACGTAGGTTGTTAAAGATATATTTGCCGATGAGGGTTACCAACGAAGAAGGGAGGGAAGAGCCAGGACTTGCACCATCAGTGAGCAGATTAGGAGACGGAGGCGGCGCTGGATAGGGCATGTACTGCTTATGGACCACCAACAGAACCCACGTATTGCTCCAACCTTCCCTAACCTGAGCACCTTAGGGAAAGAGGAGTATAGGTCGACCAAAGGAGACATGGAGGAGACCTGTAGAGGGAGAGTAGCAGAGGATAGGTTTTGCCACTTAGCATAAAGCCGTCACCGTTGCAAGAGACAGCATGGATTGGAGGAGAAAAGTCAATGGCCCAATTCTGCAAAAGAATAGCTAAGACTATGACAATGATGATATTCCTCAATAAAGGAGTGTAGATCTCCCGGCCATATTTGAATTTTGTAATGGCGGGCAGTCCGAAGTCAGAAAATGGGGCTCAAGTAATCGCACTTCTCGTGGAAATTAAGATTTGGAACTCGGCATGTAAGTACTCAGCAGGAATACTTTCGATATATCAAAAAACGAAATGGAAGTCAATTTTTGATCATAGCAGAACGTTAAATGAAGAATCTGAGCTAACCATCAGGTCGGACGCTGACGCAAAACCAAGGCCTGGTAAAGGAAGAAAGATTGAAAGAGTCCAAAGACCATCAGTATCATTTCAAAACACGATTAAGCTGACCTAGAATGAGCATAAACTTTGATTTCAGTTGTATAACATTTTCAGCGAATTGATTTCCCTTCGGGGTTTACTTTCACAACTCTGAAGCTAAGCAAAGCACTTAGAGGCGAAAACGCAATGAGAAATGAGAAATATAGAATAGCTGATAAACCTACAATCGTGGACAAAAGTCCTTGGGACACTTATGTAATGTAACGGATTATCTGTGTTTTAGAACTGAAGTATGAAGAAAACGCTGCTATATCCTTTATAAACGGGTTGCTGTCCCCCCTCCCCACCCAACACAATGTTGAAAATCAGGTGAAATTGCACGTACTAGTTTTCAACATTGTATGGGAGATGGGGGACGAGGTTAGGCAGGTGAAGTTGTATTCGCGCCTGGCGTGTACGCAAAAGCGCCAAAAGTGCAAATTTGTCCCAAGACTTTTGTCCATGATTGTACATGGCTTTTTCGGTATGAGTTAATCAGCTTTCGGACATCTGATCCAAAGGAGTACAGAAAAACATGAAAAAAGAACAGGGAGAAACATGATATCTTACCTCTTTAAGAATTATTCTTAATTCAGCTTCAGTTTGTATGAAAGATAGGGTCTTATCCTAAAAAAAAAATGGTTACAAATCTGGTCAGCTGTAGTGGTATGGAGCTGTAAGGGAGCGACCGTGATGTCATCTAGATATATCTCGACTGGAATTAACGCTTATTATCTAACTCGAAAATGGCACAATCTGTTACGAGCAAATAATCTTCTCTTCCCTTCATGTTTGAGGACCAAGTTTTTTTTCAAAAGACGTTGTGCAACTGATAGCCCTTTTCTGCCAAAATCGAAACTTTCGTAAGAACATTTGTGACATTTATACTTGTAGGCAATCTGAAGTACAAATTTTGGCGGAAACACTGAGGGAAAGCTCTGTTGAATGGCTAAACAACTTCAAGCAAACCTTCTAATTGACGAAATTTGGCTTGACCTGTCCATCAAAATACGTTTGTTATGGCAATGTCAAATTACTTGGAGAGACAATTCACACGTCAAACGTGATATTTGTTTTGCGCTGGATTTCTCCACTTTAACACTGAGGCCCGTTTTAACTCCGAGACCAACACGTACCTCGTGCTGCTTTTTTGAACACGTGTGAAAAATCACCGTTATACTTCTATGTTTCCCGTGCAGCGCCCGTTACTATACTATTTGGCTTGCCGCTTGTACGTGTAATCTGTGCATTGTAAACTAATAGAAATTCAAGTACCCGAAAACGTTTTTCCTTGAAAACTGACTTCAAAGAACAAAGGTCGAGTTCTTCCAAAGCAGCGAATGCTTTCTGATATTCAGGATCATCTGAGAAGAATGCGTAACATGTTAAAAACAGGATGATCACCTGAAAACAAATCTGATATGACACTGTTAAATACTGGAGGTAAATTTTAAAACTGTTGTTATTTTACCAAACTGAAACAAGGGAAGTACAATAGAACCTGTTTTAACAAATCGGAATCTGGTTTGACTGTACATCCGCACCTGAAAAAAAACTTTGTAATTTTGACAATGAAGAAAAATCGAGATAGATAGTCAAGACAAATCACAACTCTTCAACACGAATCTATCTGAAGAACACATTACTTTTCTGGTGAGTCTTGCAACAGGAAGTTTGTCCCAGAGACAGACTATTGCGCACCCATTTAACCCTTTGACGCCCAAGGAGTTATATACGGCTATTTAATGGTCGCGCTCTTTGTACCTTTTGTGACGTCATCAATTTAAATGTCACCAGATATTCTTGATAAGCAGATTGTAGAGCTAGGATAGATCTATCCGCACAACAGTCGTTTTTGGATAGCGACGGCATTCTGACGTAGCAAATTGAAAAACAACGTTACCCGTTTTGGTGCAAAAATGGTCGTAAAATGGCCCATTATATCTGTAATTGATCAAGGTCCCATTTCCTGGCTTTGCCCATAATTAACACCCAACTGAAAGGATATGAAACGCAAAAGGTAGCGAGAATAAAAAGGCCGAGAAAAAGGAAAGAAAAACGGCAAGGGTTTATGCGTATGCGCCAAATTAAAATATTCTACATTTTTGTACCTTATCTCGGGAAAATCTATTTGTTTGATAAAAAAAAAAGCTTTCCCAGCAAAATTAAGGCCCATTTAGCGCCATGACAGCCAAAAAAAGTGATTTAATGGTTAAAACCGGCAGTTTTGGGGGTAAATTTGGTTGTCAAAGGGTTGATATACATAATAATAATAATAATAATAATAATAATAATAATAATAATAATACATAATATTTTAAGAGGAGGCCTCCAATCACCATAAGGTGGTTTTCAGGAGTGTCCTCTGAGAAAATAAATGTTAAACCTTAAAATACATTAAAATCTAAAATACAATAAATACAATGTTTCCTGTTGATAACTTAGACTGAAACATTGTCCTGCAAACCAGCTCCCTTAACATTCCTACTTTTGTTTTCAAGGTAGATGATACTCATAAATAAAACATTACACACCTTTCAAGCCATATAAACTTCACGAATTTTAAATTGGCATCCACGGGTTTAATTATGTTTCTAAACTTTATGATATCATTTGTAACATCTATCTCGGGGAGGGGGGAGGGGGGACGTGGGAACTACTGAATCTTCAAACACTGACCACTAGTTATTAAATACTGTTAGTAACCTGGCAAAATAGCTTGGGTCAACAGAATTCAAGACGGGTAACAACCCTCCTGGAAAATAATTCCTAACCAGCTCTTGCACAAACGTGGTAGTCTTGCTTTCCTGACAAACTGCAACTTTGCAACAAGTATACTAGACCTTGATGAAAAACTTCCCACATTTTATAAAAAATGTTAGATTATTGGTGCGAGTTCAAAATCTCAACGGGCATTGATTCCAAAACAAATCCTACAAACGAAATAGTGTGGAATAACAGGAAAATTATTGTAGGAAAAAAACCTGGTTTTTTTTCAAAATTGGTGTGACGCCGGCATTACCAAGATAGGCGACATATTAAACCAAAATCAGGATTGCATTAAAATTCAATTTGAGTGTATTTTTCACTTCATACCATGGCATTGTTAACGCAATCCCAAAAGATGGGAAAGCTAATCTTAAAAACCCTATTCCGAACGTCAAACAAGATACAACTGTCAACACCCTGACAACCAGTTCTATTTACTACTCTCTTTTAAACACCACCTTTCGTTCCTCCCAGTGCCGAAATCAAAATTCTACGCCACAGATTTACAGAAAATACCATCCAAAAGGTTTATCTTACGCCATTAGCAGTCACAAATGAAGCAAAAAAATGTTTAAGTATAAAGGGATTCATAACGTGCTTCCAACCCGCGCTACACTTTATCGAGACGGCATTTCAGAAAGCCCCATATGCACCTTATGCACCGCCGAAGAACGAGCGTTGCATCACCTGCTAATAAACTGCACTCTAACAGTCGATTTCTGGACCCTGTTTCAAGACTGGTAGTACCAAAAAACAAATGAAACAGTAACGTTATCCACAAGCCATATACTTCCCGGCTGGCACGATAGGACAAAGCATTGGCAAACCCTAAATATATTATTGTTTACTTGTAGCCAAATACTGCATTTTCTGCACAAGCCTTCGCGGAGATGTTTTAGATTTTCAAAACTTTCCGCTGTTCGTTCCCGGAAAACTCGAAATTCTAAAAGAGATCGCGAGTGCAAAAAGAAGCACTTCTGAAATTTTATCGCAGTAAGCTTTTTTACTTTAATTTTATATGCTGCTGATGTTTATGGTTATAATTAATATTTAGTTTAATATTTATTATTTAGCTTTAACCATAATGCGAGGTATTGTAAAAAAAAAAGGTAAAAAAGAAACCTAGTGTAAAAAGTATATGTGTTATGTAGTACAAACTTGTAGAGTAAGCTAATTAAATATATTATTTTGTAAGTAGTGTAAGCATTATACCTAATTAAAAACCAATATTGTGAGTAGTGTATAATTATTATGTAATACGTAGAGTAAGCTAATTTAAATAATCCTATCATCAGCAGTGTTTAACCTGAGTATTGCTTGGTGTTTATTGTAATTAGCTCTGTAAGTTAATGTAATGTAAGCATTGTTAGTATGATAATTATGGTAAGTGTTGTACGTTGTGCTGTAAGGAAAAAATCTTGTATTTGTGCTCCACAGTATGTTGTTAATATTCTGCTAAGTTTTGGGTAAGCAATAATTCAGATTGTAGTATGGTTATCTGAGCGAAGAGTTTTTCAATTAAATCCACCTTTAGACTCAAAACTATTGTTGACTAGGTACATAAGCTCTCTCATACTTATGCAACAAAATAGTAACACCAACATATTTATAGGTGTCATTTTTTAACCTTACCTGCTTCTGAAGATTCCTCTCCCTAGAAAATAATGACTGCTGTTAGCATTGGTATTATAATATGAGCTCTTTGTTACATTCAAAACGACTGGAGGAGGTATGCTTACAATGACATTTATAACGTTCTTCTACCCACAGGAACTTTCAAATGATTAAATGCGAAACGGAAATCATTGAAACCATGACCTTCACTGTACAAATGTGAATATTACATTTCCTCTGCAATTTAAGATTGTACAACACTATTGAACTATTGTTCGTCCTGCTTGAGGTTTTCTCTCTTTCTGTTTCTAGACTGTGCTAGAAGTTTCAGCAAAGTCTAATTAATCAACTCGTTATCGAAAGAGAAGTAAATGATCGGAGTGATTGCCGAATTACGTTTTCTTTCGAAAGGTTCACCTCTGTTACCTCAACACATTCGGTATCAAACTGGAGGTTTGCATGGTTGAATGATTGAGGAATTCAACTGGAAGTGAAAATCAAAACTATGTTGGATTAAAAGTCTAAAATAATTCAAGTAATAAAGTCATTCAGCTGTTTTGGCGGTTTAAAAACTCAGCTATATTAAGATAGGAATGGCTGAATGAGGATCGAAAACAACTTAAAGATAAAGTCATGAACGGTTGACAATTTAGTAGCTTAGTGTTGCCCGAAGCATCTATTTGTCAAGTCGACGAGTGGTCGTTTTACAGTATATGCGACAATCTCTGATGCAAAAAAATATCTGTAGAATACTTACCTCGCTAAAGACTGTTTACTAACCCGCAGTAAAGTCATGCAGTAAGCGTTATTAAAAAGAAATGTGAAAGAACTCGAAATAGATTGTCAGTGCACTAAAACATTCGCATTCAAAAACCTTTTTCGGGGTTTTTTCGTTCGGTCAGCCATAAAATCGCTGATGGTGAAAATAATATTACGACCAGGACCAACTACAACTTGGCACGCTTTCTCGGAAATGTAAAGGCGACCGGACGGTTTTCCCGGAAGTGCCGAGGAAGCGAAAATGATCTATCGCCGCTAGTTACTGTTAGCTAGTCCTCCTTTATAATAATATAAAGCTTCATTTGTAGTTTGCGCGGTTATTTCCCAAACCTACTAGGCAAATGGTGCTATTTCTTTAGGCAGACTGTAATAAAAAGGCCATAAACGTGCCACTACAGGTTTACAGTCGATCCTATTCGAATTCAAAATTGGCTCAGGACGAAACATTCGAATCTTGAATCTGCAAAACTGAAACAAACTCAAAATGCACTTGCCATGTGAAAAGCTTGAAACAAAACAACCAAGAAAGTAGTATTGATGCGGTTTTGTTGCGTTAACTGAATGCAAAGACTACAAACGCCAAGTTAGCATTTTTCAAAATATATCTGAGATGAACGTCACTTCTAATTCTTGAACTGTTTCGCTTGCTAATATCGCCTGTAATTTCAGTTCAGTCCCACTCTGCTTGAAATAAAACTAAAGAAAACATTAAGGTTACATTTCAGTGACTACAGTAAATGAAAACTTACCATCTCGATGAACAAACGTCCACAACAAACTAACCCATTACTGACTATTCCTGTCTTCGATCGGCTGATGACATCGAGTGTAATAAGCTTACCTTGTACCCAGATCAGTCTCGTTTTTCACACCAAACAGAGATCTGGAAAAGAGAGCGATTTTTAAAAACTCTTCCCCACTCTCCGGAGCTCACGGAGACACATGATTTTATTGGCTGGATTGTTCGATTACGGCACATGTATAGGCCTTCCGGAAGCGGTCAGTTTAAAACGCAGACTCCGTACTGTAGACTGCAGACTGCATTCCCCTCTGATTCCTAGTGCTGATCAAAAGAATCGTGGCTTCTGATAACGAGTTTAGTTAGCTCAACAAAGCCAGGATCGTGCGTGACTTCAGGAATACACTATCCTATATGACACAATAAAACTGCAGAACGTCTTTCCAAGAAAGCTTAATTTAGATGCATTACCATTGGTTCCCGATGACATCATTAGTCTGACAGTGCCATTTTGGGCGTATCGGGGAATACCCCGACCCATCAGAAAAGTCTGATAGCTAATCACTTATGCGACTGATGGGTTAAGGCAGAGTTCTTACTGTTAGCGATGGCGGCGATAGGCTTCATGAAAATGACGGATAAAAGAGAAAATACCATGGACTGATGATGATCTGATAGTTTGGTTAAAAGCATGGTGAGTTTTTATGAATAACCATGACAGCGGATTTTAAGGATTTAGGATTTCGTCCACAAGGGTTTTCTTACCATTCCTGTCGTCTCAGCCGTTCGATACAGCTCAGTTACTCTAACAGGCAAACACTGGCCCAGCTCAGACGTCGGGCTGCTGTGGTGCCGGACGTAATTGCAATTAGGCTCTACTGTAGCACGGCAGAAATTCAAGCGTTGTGCCAGAGTCGAACCAAATTCACGATTTCCCGAGGCCTCGTAACAATTCTCCTCCTAACTCCCCGTGGGAACGTACATCCAAAATACATTACTATAGTTTATGATTTTGTTTGGCGCGGTGGAAACACGATGTTTGAATCGCTGCCGGGCCGGAGTTCTTGAACTTTATTGCTTGCCGAACTTAATTCAAAGTTTCATTCAGACGCCGTGCTTCTGCCGTGCTTTTGTCGAACTTAATTCCTGAATTTAGTTCGACACGGCAGAAGCACGACATCTGAACTGGGCCTTGTCGGGCTTTCTACATTTCCATATTGAATTAGCCAGCCAAGATTGTTTGAGACTGTTTCAAACACTTAAAATGTTCCGCGATTCTGGCACAGTTGCAAACATGATTCTCACCTTATTTATCCAAATGATTGCTCGGTAAGGACAAAACTGAATAGTGAAATTCTTAATTTTTCGTTTACATGAAATGTAAATTTCTCTTAATTGTGCTCTGCGTGTACGTTGTATTCCATTTTCAACAATATTGAATCATTTCCGTTAATTCAATCGACTATCTGCAGTATAACTGCCCATTCTTAACTTTGTTAACGAAATGGGAGACGAGTAACACGAAGGCATCGGTATTGATTTAAGGGTCAGGTCTTAAATAGGGTATCAAATTTTTGGTCAGGTTAAAAATAGGTCTAAATAGGGTAGGTAAAATCACAGATGGTGGTTTCTGATATTGCAAGGGTTTTGGAAAGTGAGCCGCGCTCCCCCAGCCAATTTTTCTGAGAGTACCTCCCCGGGAGGAATGCAAGGCCGCCTCAGAACGACGGGTTCAAATCACATCTAGTTATCCTCTCTTAACTGCTTGACCAAGACTTTTTCAGGCTATCTTATGCACAGACTTCTTGGTTCTAGTGAATCATATGAAGCAGAGAGTGTCCAGATTCTTATCTCCCTTTCTTTGTAACTGCCGCCTCTTGCTCTCATGCAACAGCATCTACTTCCGCCATTGCCCGCGCTCGCATTATTTAGGACTGGGTCCTTATTTCACGTGACCACAAATACTTAAATCCTGCGATAAAAGGTTGAAGTTGAACACATATCTCTCTTGAACACATGTATACGTGCTTGTGTAATATAACCAGATGATTTTTTTTTACTGTAGGAGTCAAAGGACGAAGACTCAGGTAACCCTTTTTTTTTTTTTTTAACGGTTGCATTTGGTTATGGTGGGATGGACTGGAAGCGTCCAAATTTGACTTTTTGGAAAAGAAGAAGTACACTGGGCCTGATTCTTAAGGAAAAGTATCCGATCGATCAAAGCTCTGTCACTATCAACCCCTCCCCTGCATTTTCGCTGAAACTACTTGTGTTGTAACTTCCACAGATGATTTCGAGTACCAGACGGCCTTTGCTGCCCTGGATGAACTCAGACTCGGTGACTTAAAACCATTTTTCAAGGAGCAATGTTTGCAGGTAACTGAAATGATTATTTTAGATTTCAAATAAATGACGACTATTTTAAAATTCGCAGACATGTTTCGGTAGAAACATCTACCTTCATCGGTTTGTTGCAATAGGTGCATAGAGCATCACAGGCGCCCCAGACGTTGAATACGATTGAACACGATTAATACGTGACATTAAGTTGTTGGCGATTGGGTTACAATTTTAGCCGTTTATCAGACATTGTATGAGAAAGCTTCAAAAATTACTGTTAATTCTCCGTGTAGAAAATGATTTACTTCGCCTTTCAAGAACTTGCGGACTGTAAAATTCAAAGCTCAATGTTCGGCGGCTCCTCCCAGCTTCCGACTACTGCCGAGCACTGTTTCGTTGTCTGAACTGCGCTCAAAGATTTGATTACCGTTAGTGTAGTGGCCTGGCGGTTTGTTTCCCCTACCTGGGCCGCCTGTTGGAGCATAGAATACAAATACTGGAAAATGCTAATGATACAATGGCGGGAAGAAGACGAAAAAATTTTTACAATAAAGAAAAGCGTGAAAATTACAATAACAAGCTAAGTTTTAGATTAACACGTTTGATTTCATGATTGAGAGAAGAGTTTTCCCACCGGATGTGCAGAGTTTCTTTGATCTTGAGCTGGAAGGTGATGCTAGCTTGATCAATCGCGTGAAAGCAATCCCTGGTCTATACCAGTGTGTGAGTTTTTCGTCCGTTATAAGATCTTCACAGACACGTGTGGAAAAATGTCGGGAAGTTTCACCAACATAGCAAGCGTTACAGCCTGCACAAGAAAATTTATTCTCGACACCTGAACGAAGTCCACAATTAAGGGATAGGATCTTTCACACTAAATAGAGAGCTTACTTTAAAGAAGGAGAAAACCAATTTGACGTTTAGAACACCTTCTCTGTTCTTTTGTTATTTGCTTTCATGCCTTTGGCTATTTTAACCCGATAGACTCGCATTTTACGAGACATAATCTTGGGCGTCTAGGTATGAGTCTATGGATTGTTCTTATAGTGTATCCTTGACAAGACTTATATTTTTTAAGCGGCGTATATACAGTCAGCGCTATCAGTGTGAGCATTACTGAAATGTAAACTAGGGTCATTGTGAATCGAAGTAAGAAAAATTAGGATTAAAAATATTGTAAAAAAACGTGTCCTTTGCATTTGCACCGCTGGCTATTTACACTTCTTACCTGTTTTCCTGGTGCCAATGTGCTTTGCAAAGTTGTTCACGAAAGAGTGACTTCAAGTTCAGTTTTCGACGTTTGTCAATACATGAGACAGTCTTACAGTTGTACATAATAGCTTCAGTGGAAACATGTGAGTACACATTTTCTCTTCTGCGCACTCGCTCATACCGAGAAGTCATTGTTCATGTAGCTTCTTTGTTAGTGCTCGTTGCATTTATTTAGTGCTCATCGCATTGATGAGCTATGAAGCTAATCTAAATATAATTTTTCATTTCTCATTTGATTTTATTTCATTTTAGGACGACATCTTGTTCTATGTGAATTCCGAAGATGAACTCAAAAACATTCTTATCAAGGTAAGGACACAAGAACATTGCTTTAACAGCGATTAAAGACTTATTAGTTGTAGGAACGGAAGCACAAAATATGCAAAGAGATGAGCTGAGCTTGTTTGTTTGAACAAGAGACAGACTTGAACTCACCTATAGAATTTATGAATTTCATTACTTTAGTATATACTGGGTATGCTCCTAACCATTAACCATGGAGCTCTTGGTATGCGGGTTTTTATCCAATGACTTGATCAGAAAAGTGCATATAAGGCAAAACTTGAGGAGGTGGTTAACCAAGTCTGATATAGGAGGTATGATTTTATGCTTGCGTATCGCTTAGCCTTTTTGGTGTCTAAATTTCATACTAGTTGACTGAATATTAAGCTTATGATAGCATTTTGTACAGTATGGTACAAAACCCATGGGGTTAAAAACGTCAATTTTGTACCGGCAGGCCGAGTAGAAAGTATTTTTTAAGAAACTGACCGTTTATACAAAAAGCTAGCTGGAACGGATCGAAGAGGAATCGGTTATGCCATAACTATTTGATTTATCCCATTTCTTTCAACAGGAATTAGGGTTGCCCTTTGGAAAAGGCTTTAAGTTCAGCAGATTTTGGTTCAACAAGTATCATAAACGTGCAGGTCAGAATGTCACTCTCAGAAGTGATGGGTATAAATTACGACTTAATATATTTAACAATTAGAATATGAGCTCGAGATTTCTATCGCTAACTATCAGTGGCGAATCTAGGAGGGCCCTGGACCCTCTCCCTCCT